TTGCTGGGTGGGTGAGGAGACTGGGGGCACTTGGGCTAGTGCTTTCATCAAACACCACTGCCACCACCAGCTCCCAGGGAGGACACCTGCAGTCCATCCCGGCCCGTGTCCTGGGGGTGTGACTCCTGCTCCATTTGCTCTTGAGCCTGCCTGGCCCTCCTCATCCTCCACCCTCACCCTGAGCCTGCTCCCTGGGAGGCCTCCCTCTCCCCTGGGCCGGTCCCCCCGGGTCCCTGCCAGCAGGAAGCATGTGTGGTTTGTGGAATGGAGAGGGTGATGCCTGCTGGTGGGGCGGGCCTAGGCTGTGTGTCCCCCCACGGCGGCCTGGCCGGGCCTCCCTGGGAAGGTGTGGATGAGCCTGGTGCCCACCAACCCCACCTGCGTGCAGCATGTCCCGAGGTACCTGGTGTCTTCTCTGCTTGACGAGACCATTGAAGCCGTTGCCTCTGGGCTGAGCACAGCCGTGTACCAGCGCCCCACGACGCCGCGGGCCCCCGCCAAGCGGAGGAGGAAAGCAAGTAAGCCAGGCGTGGGCTGGCGCCGCCCCTGACAGGTTCCCTGGGAGCTGCAGGCCCCACGGGAGCGCTCCTGCCGGGCCGGTGTGGGTCCCGCCCCCTCGGTGAGCGCAGGGCAATGAGCGACTGAACAGTCGGTGCCATTCCCCACCGTGGGCACCGTGGTAGCCGCTGCTCTGGGACAGGCCTGGCCTGTGCGGCCTCTCCGTGGAGCCAGCTGTTGGGCATTGTGGCCCTTTGAGCGGGCAGCTGGGAGACGGTCCTCAGTCACACCAGTTCTCGAGTTAAAATTCAGCATCACGGCTCTTGTGTTGTGTGTGTGTGTGTGTGTGTGTGTGTCTTTTCTGGTGTCATAAACCCGGTCACGCTCCTGACGTGTGTTTCTCACTGGCTTCGCCCCCCTGCACGGAGGACAGTCTCGGAGTGGACGCTCTGGAGCTGCCCTCGTCCCTGCGAGCGTCCAGCTGGGACGGGGCGTCGCCGGTGAGGTGGCAGGCGGCTCTGTGTAGTTTTGCCTCCTTCGCTGTGTTTCGCTTGAGGTTTTGTTTGTTTGTTTGCTAAAGAATTTTTTTGGTTTTTTTTTTTTTTTTAATTTTAGTTTCCAACGATTTCTTGCTAGGACATAGAAATACAATTGACTTTTGTGTTGACCTTGTATCCTGCAACCTTGCTAACTGTCTTCTTATTCCCAGCTTTTTTATAGATTCCCATAGGGTTGTCTATATAGACAATCATGCCATCTGCAAATGAGGACAGTTGCTCTTTCTTTCCGATCTGTATGCCTTCTATTTACTTTTCTTGTACTTG